CACTTGGCACTTGACGAGCCAGTGGGTCAAGAGGCCGCAGCGTGAGCTGGACGAGATCGAGCATTGGCCCGCAAAACAGCGGCTGATGGTCGAGAAGAGCGTCCGCCGCCTCGTCGAGCTGCGGAAGCACACTCGTGTCAGAGGCCTGACGGTTCTCTTGGGAGATGACAACGGTCGTTTTTACAACCTGCCCAGCGAGTATGATGAAGAGATGGGCAAGTACGCCCGGCAGTTGCAGAGCGCAGGCATTAGCGTCGTTGATCCATCAAGCCTCCTGATGAGGACCACACGTCCTGACGGGTTCCACATCGAGGTCACCGACCCGAATGCGACTGCATCCTTGCAGTGGTGGCATGCTCTCATCAGAGCCATTTCCACCGACCGAATCATCACTCGCCGGAAGGCTGAGTTCGTCGCCAATCAGAGAAGTATTGTATTCCGCAATCACTTCGAGCTTGGGAAGGCCGAGAAGACGCTCACGGTGCCGCCTGCAAGCCAGCGCATCCTTGAGCCGTTGGACCGCGCACCCGAGCTCCCGGCGGAAGCCAGGGAAGAGGATGAGCAGATCGTTCTCGATCACCCTCTTCTGATGATGATGCCTGAGCCGGTCGATGATCTTGATCTCAAGCCGGAAGGCTCTGAAGAGGTGACCCAGGTTGAACACGTTCTGTTCAGCCGTGATCTCGGGTCAGAGCTGCCCCTCGACCTTGTCGCCATCGACCCTGAGGCGCAAGAGGACTTTGCCTTTACGGTGGCACGTGATGTCATCAACACCACAAATGTGCTTATTCCTGACGGCGACGCCATCGAGAAGGAGGCCACTGACGGCATCCCCACGGTGTGGGACGAACCCCCCGAGGTTCCGGCATTGGAAGATGACCGCAGACTCCCGAAAGGCACAGTCAGGTATTCGCAGGCTCTTCGCAAAGTCGGGTCGACGCCCAAGTCGAAACCCGATCCTGCCAAGCACAGGAGAATCTCGGAGCCAGTCGAGACCGACGACGAAGAGGATGTCGTTATGGACCTGGATCCTGATGACACCGCTCAGCCGTCGGAAGACGCTGCTGTTGACTTCGAGCCATTCTTTGAGTGGTGGGCAGTGGTGGGGCTATGAAGACATCCCCGATTTTGCCCCAAGCCATCGCTACATGACAGATGGCAAGCGGCGGGCATTGAGCAATGCCATGAGCTTTTTCCTTCGCGGCTTCGCGAATAGTGCAGAGTCACAGGCACAAAGGCGGCCACCGCCCATGATGACCTTCGACCCCGCAACACGGGAGGTCGAATGGGGCCACTTCAAAGAGCAATTGGGCAAACAGTGGCGCGGTCTCCGGTCGGAAGACGTCATGGAAGTGGTTAAATATGGGAACCACGACAAAGACGACAATGGACGCTTTGAATTGCGCGTCCTTCACTTCATCGACCACACTGAGATTCACGGAATCCGTGCGTTCCAAGGGCACTGCCGCGATCTCATCTCTGACGAGACTGATCTTGTGGATATGCACAGTGACAGCTATGCTTTGTGTGACGACTACAGGCCCACCATGCATACGCGTCCTCCCGTGGGAGTCACTGGCCAAATCCACAACGACTGGGTCAGAATGCATCCGATCGGGTACCATGCGACCTATTGGAGCAATTTCTCCAATATCGTGAGTACCGGTCTCATCCCAGGCGGTGTCACCCTCGGCGGAAGCACGGGGAGAGCCTTCACCATGATGGCTTGCCTCCCTCAGTGGGAAAGGCCGAACAACGCAGGCCTGCGACCTGGCGCTGAGGTTGAATTCGCTATCGACCTTCAACTCGCGTGCCTGGAAGGGTGTCGCATTCTCCTGACAAAGAACAATGTTCTGCAGACCCCCGATTGGTTGTCCAATCGCTACCTTATGTTTGCTTACGATCGCAGAACCGGGAAACCCGTATGGTTTAACCGCTCGTACGAGCTCACGCGAGCTCGGGTGTCCAAAGCCCGTGATGCATATGTCAAGCATCAGGAGATCCTGCCGGTCTTCAACCAAGACCTCATCGAACGCGCAGCGGAAGCTGACGCCAATTGCATCATGGATTACGTTGATCTCTGTTACCCGATCCACAATGAAAATTTGGACTGGGTTGAGTTCTTGGGTATGTTCATGGACATGCAGAAGCCCTCGCGCCTGCGTGAGGTTGAGCAGTTTCATGTCGATGGTCGTACCATCTGCTTTGAGCAGGGTAGTCCGCTGGAGGGAACTCCGTGCGAATGGACTTTGGATGCCCAGGTCTATTTCTCGCCTATCGGGCTGACCACCGAGCGCCCGTTGCGTGTGGAGCGCAAGCACTATTCAGTGTGCCTCAATGTGCACTTTCCAAAGCTGCGTTGCCCTGATGATAGGTGCAGGTCTCAGATGCTTGACGGCTATCTTCATTGCCCCCGCTGCTAGCGAAAGTTGTTCAATCCGAGCGACATCTCCCACATTGCGGAGCTGGCTGATCTGCGGGCGGAAGCCGCGCAAGGTGGAGCTAACCACAGTCTCCACTATCTGGCACCAAGAGCAGCTATCAACACTCGTCCACACGAGCACACCCGTCAGGGGGCCGATGTGAAGAAAAGCATCGCTGCGACACTCAAGGAGAAGTGCAAGAAGATGGTGGCGAAAGCAGCAGAAGGGACACATGGTTCCCTGCGCCAGAACTTGAAGTACGAACCCTTCAGCGCCTTCAATGTGTTTTCGAAGGGGATGACGGTGACTTCACTCGACGAAGTCGAGATGTTCGCGCGTTTGCGACTTCCCGCCCCGGGAACGGGGACGGAGGCAAAGAGGGGCTTTGCCGGATCTCACACGTCCGATGCTCGCACTGCCCTCATTTTCCCTCCCGTCGACGACATGATTCGCGGTGAGTACAATTACCAGAGGAACATCTTTCTTGAGCTGGCCAAACACTGCTATTTCTGTTTCCAAGACCGCTTTTACTTGGTCCCTGAAATTGCTGTGTTGATCCGCGCCACTCAGTTGGCCTCTGAGGTTCGCAATCTGCGTCCGTTCACAATCCTCCGCCATGACGGCGTCGAGTACCAGCCCGTGACCGGGACTGTCCCTGAGATTATGGCCGACCTCGTCGGTTTGCTCCGCAACAATGCACAGCACGCTCTCACCCACAAGGAGCGCAACCAGCAAAGGGTTACTGTGCAAGTCGGAATCGGGCAGACTCCCTTGGAGATTCCAGCATCGCTAGGAACTATGGGCAGGTCACAGATGCTTGAGCTTCTTGGTGGTACGCGGTTCAGTGTTGAGCGTACCCGCGGTTGGATTAATCGTGAGGTGGAAGACCGCATGGTCCGGCACGGTGCCACTCCCATTGGCGCCATGCGTGTGCCGCCTGATGCGTCGCTGCCTGCAGCAACACCCAGTGTTCGGCCTCCACCGGCTCCCCCGAGCCGAGGTCGCTCACCTGGCGGTGCAGCTTCATCTTCCACGGATCGTCCGATGAGCACTTCTGTTCCAAAAGCTGCAAAGACAAAGGCAAGGCCGGCATCTGCCCGAAGCATTACGCCGCCTCCTCCTAAGCCAAGTGCCAACAGACCAGTGCAGCCGCCTTACCCACCTGCTGCAAAAGCTGTTCCGAAGGCTGACGCCGTTCGCGCACCTGAGGAATACATCACTGCTGATGAGTGGGACAACTACTTTGCCGGCCGTGGCGAAGTCAGAGGCTTTGCTGTTGGTGATGCACCCGCACCGGTTGCCGCCCCTGCAGGGCCACCTGCCACAGCCGCCGGAGGGCGTGCTCGCACTCGCTCACCACGCCGCCATGACTATGGTGGGGGTCGAGACTATCAAGAGGCCGCTAACGACAGGTTGCGTCACCTGCGCCTGTGTGATGAGGCGATCGAACAGCAACTCGAGCACCTGACGGTCACTCTCCCAGGCTTCCCAGCTGACCGCTTGAGGAACTGGACCGACCAGGATGGGAACGGATTCGATCCAACCCAACCAATGCCTCGCAATTGCACTCGCACAGATGCTTGGTATTGGGGAGTCCTCCGTGCCCGCTATCTTGAAGAGCTGTCGCCCAACGAAGTGCCTTTTGTTATTCCCGCTTACACCGACCGGGAGGTCTTGGTTCAGCATCCGGTTGAGCAGATTACCTGGTTCCTGCGTGGCTGGGAGGAGTTTCGCCAAGACTCCAATGGAGCATGGTACAGGGCATACTAGCCTATTGACCTATTGCACCCGACACCGGAAGGTGCTCCGCGTCTTGAGGGCACCGTGTCAGGAGATGCATGAGTCGCACGCAACAGCGACTTACATTTTGATCCGTTTTTCTGCAGCTCACCGCACTGACGTGCTGGTTCGTCATTCACAACCATCGCATCGGCACATCCGTGCATCACCGCCCTGACGGGTTGGTTTGCTGACCCGCTTTGTGGAGTGATTTGAGTTTGCATTTCAAGATCTTTTGCTAGCCTCGCAAAGCGAGTGCTGCCTCAGAGTAGCGTAGAATAGTAATACGCCTCCTCCGCTGCGCTTCAATGCGCGGGGGGTGTTTTTATTCTCTTTGTATGCTAGTCATCATGTCTTACCTACGCTACCTCGTGGCTCAAGTATGAAAAAGGATTCGTGCGTCCTGCTGTTAACAATAAACAAATTGAGCTACCCCTGCTTTCCTGAATCTCCAAATCGTTGGGGTTGCTTGGGCCTTGTTTTGCCGATTGCCGCGTTGCCCCGAGGCTAGTAGCTCACGCTTTGAACCCAAACCGCCTCGTCTGGAAAGTTGCTGCTAGATTCGCCTTCTGGTTGAGGGAAACCCAGTGCGCTACTCGGGAGAGAAGAAGCTTAAGATAAACTGCACTGCAAAGCTTGGACACCCTAAACCCTGAAATGCAGGCTCGTCCTTGCTAGCTGCTGGGTGGGAGGAGAACAAACTCTAAACCCAACATGCTGAACACAAATCTGAAAACCCTAAGCCATTAACCCTCCTGTACCCCCCATGCAAGAGAATGAATGCCTCTATAAATTCAGGTGTTGTCTCAGCATCCTCGGGTTTTCGACCTTCCGACTTTCGAGTACCTGGATGCTGGGGAGAGCCGACAGAGGCGCATTTAGGGCTGGCTTCAGGATTCTGTAGGGCTTCAGGTTTTGCGGCCAATACATCCTTTTGTTTGAGCAGGTTCCCCACTCCATGGATCGCGTGTGCAGAGCTATAGTGCGTCCCGTGAGGGTTGGTCCGACCTGCTTCGCGCATGTTCGACTCGAGCCCGAGAGAGTGAGGTTGCGAGTGATCCCCTTCAGGTTCTTTCGGGTTGAACCCTAATGCCTTGACTTAATTCCGGACACGCAAAGCCCTCAAGCTTCCAGGCCGTAAACCCGGCACCCCTCCCCCCTTAGCACCTAAGTCAGCCCGAAACCGCAACCCGCAAACCCCACCACTCAGGTCTTTTGCCTGCTTCCTCCTCAGCATTTCCGAGGAGCGCGCCGGTCTTGGGCATCTGGGATCCTAGCCTTCAACCTCTACTCCAAACGCTTAAGTTCTCAAATACCTCCATCCCAAGCGCCCCAAACCACACATCCGCTTCCCGGGTCCTCTTTGGAAGTCTGCAAATTCAAGACCAGCCTCCCTCGCTCTGCTCCGAGAGCTTCCAACCGAAACCCTGGCAGAGTGGAGGACTTTGCCGGGGTGGAATCCGTGGCCGTTGCATCGGACACCCTCGTTCTCTGCGAGCGTGGTGGCAGGTGACGCTGGGGGCACGATCTCAAACTAAAGGGCTATGAAGACTTTAGATTTCGAAGACCCAGTAAACCTTAAACTCGGGCTTTAATCGAATTGAAGGTTCAGAGCCTTCAAGCCGGGGCGTGGGAGAATTGAGTCTGCTTGCGATGAAACTTCCCACAGTCGAAATGCGGGCTCGTCGTTGCGGCGTAGGAGGGAAAAAGCCATGCTCCGTACATGCGTGAAGACAGAATTCTGTATTTCAGGTCTGTTTGCTTGAAGTCGCTCTGCGCGTGATGGCAATGCCTAGAAGTGACATTCTGAGCTCCCGTTGCCCCAAACGCCGGAAAAGCCCAACCCGTCGATTTCATTCCTCCGGCTGGCAGGGTCCTCGGTTCCACCCGTCATGTGCAGGAGGAATGCTCGACCTCTCAGGTTCCGGGTTCAAGCAGGGGGTGGCACACAAAAGCCTAGACGGCCTGGACCTTTAGAGTTTAGATATCCTGAAGCTTCAGGGGCGACCAACTCCAGGCGAAGTACGAAGCCAGTTGCAAACAAAAAGAGATCCTCAAAGTAAGAAATTACGGCCCAGGCGGCACGAGATCCGCTCGTCCAGCTGCTTATTCGGCGCCTGAACCCGCCGCAGGCACCAACATCTTCTCGCATCCGAGCTTGCAAGGGCTTTTCGGAATCGCCTTGGGATCATCCTGCGGTTCATAGACCTACATAAGACGAACGAGGCCTCGTCAGATTGTGCAAAGCTCTTCCTTGGAGTTGTGTTTTGCCATATGCAGCTGCGGCTGCTGCCGCGGCTGCTGCCCTCTGCTACCGCTTCCACCACTAGTATTTATTTTTTCAGCGTGTAGGTAGTCATACGTGACATAAGTGGAAGATTTGTTGGGCATCTGGAGTGTCTAGTCACTAGTAGCCATGTCTCCCGAAGAGTAGAGAAGACTGCACCATGTTAGTAGCAGAGCGAGACAGGATGGTGGCTTAGGAGCTCCGGGTTCACAGGATCCACCGTCCAACACACTGTAAGAGTGGATGGGAACATGGAAGAACAGCTTAGGATATGCATAAGTAAACTTTAACTTTTTGGGGGTACTATAACAAACCCTAAACCCCAAACCCCACTCTACTAGCACCTGACCTTGTCGGCCATTTCGGCTCCAGCTGGGTCAGTCCCTGTTGCAATTCCAGTTCTTTGCAAAATCCTTACAGCCCGCGTTGTGGCCGCCGAGACCCATGAAGCTGCAGCTCCTGTGTGTCTTTGTCGGCATCGTCTCCACCGCAGCCGTTCGCAAGGGAGAAGATCTGCGTTCAGAGCAGGGCCACCTCCAAAAGATCCATCAGCACGCGAACCAGACCGCGGAGGTTTCGAGGCCTTACATCGTGGTGAGCCCCGAAGTCCCTACAAAGGAAGTGTGCTGCTGCTGCAAGCGTGAGAAGTCTGGGGGCTGTCGGCTCCACGGTGCGATCGCCGACGCCGTCAGGGACGCATCAGGGAGCTGCGGTGTAGAGCTCGCAGGACCCAAACATCTCTGCTGGAAGCCAAAGGGTGTGGAGGTGGTGAACAACTACGGCACAAAGAACCGGTTCGACTGTGCAATTTAGCCGCCATGGCTGCGGCACTGAGAGCATGTAGGTGCTTCAGGAGTCCATGCGGCGTGACGCAAAACTACAAGCTGCGAGGATCCACATTGCACCCGACACCTTATGCGCGGTAGGAGACACGATTCCCAAACACCCCGCTGACACTGACGCGTACGCACTGGCCCTCCGCGAAGAAGTCTCAAAGGATATGTCTACTAAGGCCCAGCCGCCCCACACCCGGAAATCCCCAAACTTTGAGGCTTCAGATGTGACGCTTTCTTGCTTGCCATCCCTCATGCCTTCGCAGTGGCCCCAAAACCCTAACTAGGTGTCTCAATGGCCCCTTTTCCCTTTACGTGTCTTAGCTTCCTGAGAAACCTACCCAATACCAAAAAGCGATCCCTTTTCTTCTTATGGTACGGGGCCCGGTCCTAGCTAATCAATTCCTCGAGGTCTGACCGTCATTTGTTGAGACTGAGTACTAGGAGGCTTTAGCACTCTGGCCGTTCACAGATGCGAGCTCCTTCCGCAAGCAACCCCAATGGCCAATGCCTTAGACCTGCAGCTTTGGGACCCCCATTGTCCCGAAGAGTCCCCGAACTCTCCTTTCTTTCTTGCGCAGTTGATCAACAAGTGGATGTAGGTTTTGCAGGTGTGCATATCTAGCTACGTATACGTGACCTGACACGCTCTCACTTCTGACTGGGAGCCTGCCGTTTGGATTGCACCATCAAGGGCTCTGAAGCGTGCCTAAACCCTAAACACGGAACGGGTTTGGGATTAAGACGGGCCAGGAACCCCTAAACTAAACCCGAAACCTTTTACCCTAAACCCTCAGCCGAATCCTTAATGCAAGCCTGCCGAGTGCTGAACTCCTGAAGTTCGGATCGAGACCCACTTTGAACACCAACCTCGAAGTTTCATTCGCCCCCCCCCGAAACTCCCTTCCTTTCTAGCCCCCAAACTGTGCCAAACTCCTAAGTCGCAGATGTCCCCAAAGGCTTGAGGCCAAATGCCGAGAGCCTAAACGCCCTAAGCCCCAAACACTATTCGTTAGGGTCTAGGGTTGAGGTTTCTGATTTAGGGTTGAGGCACATCCTGAACCCCTAAACCTTCAAGGGACACGGTTTTTCCACCTGTACTCTAGGATCCTCCCTGAAGCATCCGTTGACCCCAGAGCTCCCCAAACCCTAACCCTAAACCCTGAAGCTCACAAGCTCATACCCTTCCTTGGGCTGGCGCCACGGGCAGGCCCGGGATCTCAAAGCCGAGCTACTGAGTTCCTGATGTCATAGGGACCCTTGCGGGGGGTAGGGGGCCTTAATGCCCATAATAAGGACCTAATGAGGCCTATTTAAGGAAGTATAATCCCCTACCCCCCCGTCCCCTCTACCCCCCTAAGGGTCCCTGTGATGATCGGTGGGCTGAAGAGATGCGGCAAAGATGAGCTTTGATGGATGTGTGTCAGGGAGTGATAGGTTTGGGGTGCTCATGCGATTTTCGGCTGTTGTGTTTGCTTCAGGGTTTTCAATTCATAAGTAAGGTAACTATATTACTTATAACCCCAATTTTAAGATACTTATAACCTTACTTACTAAGTCCCATGATCCTTTAAGTTTCAGGGTTTTGGAGCTGAAGTCATGGGTTGACGTGCACAAGACCTTGCTGCTGGGGTCTGGGTCTTGAGTTCGAGGGTGCAGATTGATTGCCTAGGACTCAACCAGTTTAGGGTTTAGGGTTTAGGGTTTAGGGACTCAACCCAACTAGCTCTCGACATTAAGGGCCCAAGCTCCCCAACTTGAGACCCCGCAAGCAGATGGCACCACTTCGCAAAGGCAAGGCAACACGAAATGGCACCCTAAAGCCTAAACCCCTAAACACTGAACCCTAAACCGTCAAGTTTGAGAAGCAGGTTGAGGGCGTGTGAGGTTCTGCTTCTTGCTCCTGTTCCGCTTATGTTGTACTCACTCGTATCAAACTGGAGCCAAGATTTCCCAATCCCTTGGTCAGGGTTCAGGGCGAGGGGGTGAAGGTTCAGGCAGTAGAACACAATAGAACTCTCCCGATATTCATGGAAGCCGCAGCCCTGGCAGAGACTCTCTGGCCGACAAACCTGTGAGAGTCCAAACCCTTCGATGCACGCAGAGTCCTATCTATGCGGGAGGCAAATAGAATCCTAAACCCTAGCGGATGTCTGTAGTGGTGTCTTAAACCTCGCCTGACCTGGTCGAGCGCAAGTGCTAAAACCCTCCATATCCCTCAACCCTCAACCTCCAACTCTAAACTCCAGACTCTGAGCCTAAATGGCTCAAATCCGACATACTAAGCCCCAAGCTCAAACTTCAACCTCTGAGCAAGCCCAGTCCTAAGATCCTGAACCTTCGCTTCACAAGCCCTATGTAAGCCGTATACCCGGTTACCCTAAGCCCTTAACCCTAAACCCTATACCCTATACCCTTATACCCTATATACCCTACACCGTAAACCTGCGATGAGTGTCAAAACAACCCTGAAAAGGGACATTCAAGAACGCGAAAGCCCTGCAGCCCTGCGTGTGGCTCAAAGCATCGGGTGCCCAGAGCGGTGGGCCAAAGTCGGACAGGAGAGCCCTGTCCAGAAGGGCTCCTTGCTTATGACCTTCTTTTTGTTTTAAGGGGGGGGGTAGGGTTGTAGGGGCGGTTTAGCCAGGGTTTGGAGTGAAGGGTTTCGGGCTTGGTGTTTAGGATTCAAGGTCGGGGGATGCGGCAATGTTGACTGCGCGGCACTTAGCATGAGGATACGTTGTAGAAGGCCTGAAGGCGATGTGGGGCTTCAGAGTCCAAAGCTAAAAGGAGGGACCCTTAATAAGGACCCCTAGGTATATACCCTTAATATACCCATTATATAGGGTAGGGGTCCCCATTAAGGGTCCCTCCTTTTCCCCTTGGACAGAGGCCCAAAGCCCAGACATGTGACCCGGACCCGAGAATCGCTTGCGCGACGAACGTAGCACTCAAGTACCCCAAAGCGTCGGGTTGCAGAATCTCAAATGCCCAGCTCAATTCGGGACAATATACTTTCTTGTTCTGGATGCGTGCATACACCTAAAATTTAGGGAAGTTGTGCCATATTGCTGAATACTGTTTCTACTGGGGAATACAGGAATGGTGAGGGTTCACCTCTCCCGTGGGGCTTGGCTCCTACAGCCAGTGTTAGAAACTTCGATTTGGGTGGTTGTCAAAATTAGGGCCCTTTTTGGGTACCCTAAATATTAGGTGCCGCATTAGCACAAGGACCCAGAAAGGGACCATCATTTTGACAACCAGCCATTTGCCAGCTCTGAGTTGGGGCTTGCCTCGGTATATAGGGGTCGGACGGTTGATCATATATATCCTGCATTACCTTCATGACCCTAGACTATGGGAATCATGGCATATTCCTTTTATGGGTAATGCAGGATTTATATCATCAACCGGAGTACTCAAGACTACCCGAACCTAGGCATGGCATGCTCCACCCAAGATTGTCTACACCCTCGTCTCCTAATGTACTGAGGACTAAAACAAGGTGGGAATCCGACCAAAGTGCTTGAAACAAGGCATGTTAATTCCCAGAGGCCGACATTTCCTATTTCTTGTCAAAACTATGCATAGAAAAGGGGGGAGCAAGACTGAGCTGGCCAAGAGCGTCGGCGCCCGAATCTCGACACAGAACCCTAGTATAGAGGGCCGGAGTGGTTTGTACTATCATCCTCTTTTGTCCCTAGTATCATCATACTCATTCTATACTATAGTACGCTATACCATCCCCTAAGCCCCTACTCTAACTCTCAAATCCCCTACACTACTGAAGGAAGCACTCTGAACCCCAAACGCAAAACCCCAATTATTCCTGCGCGAGACTGGAAACCCCCAAACCCTTACAGTACTCCCATCCCCTCAGCCCCAAAGCCTAAAACCTAAACGCTTATATACACAAACCCTAAAACCCCTAAACCCTACGTAAGAGCCCACAGCTCACAGCTCTCCCTCAGGGTTTCCGGCATGTCGATCGTGGAGAAGGAGTTAAAGCACCGGCCTGAGAGGGAGCCGGGTCGCAAACTTTCTAGGATTAAAGATTTAGATCAGGGTTGTTTAGGGATTCGGATGTATGGTTCTGTGCAAGATGTTCAGGGTGTTTAAAGAGTCCAGGGTTTTGGGACAAGTGTCGGGGGTCAATGGTTCAGGGTTATTATTATTATTGTTATTATTGTTTTTATTATTATAATTATTACTATTATTATTATTATTTTATTATTAATATTATTATTGGTAGTAGTATAGTAGTAGAAGTATCAGTAGTAGATGTTGTTGTTGTTGTTGTTGTTGTTGTTGTTGTTGTTGTTGTTGTTGTTGTTGTTGTTGTTGTTGTTGTTGTTGTTGTTGTTGTTGTTGTTGTTGTTGTTGTTGTTGTTGTTGTTGTTGTTGTTGTTGTTGTTGTTGTTGATGTTGGTGTTGTTGTTGTTGTTGTTGTTGTTGTTGTTGTTGTTGTTGTTGTTGTTGTTGTTGTTGTTGTTGTTGTTGTTGTTGTTGTTGTTGTTGTTGTTGTTGTTGTTGTTGTTGTTGTTGTTGTTGTTGTTGTTGTTGTTGTTGTTTGTTGTTGTTTGTTGTTGTTTTTTGTTGTTTGTTGTTGTTTGGTGTTGTTTGTTGGTGTTTGTTGGTGTTTGTTGTTTTTTGTTGTTGTCTGTTGTTGTTTCTTATTGTTTGTTGTTGTTTCTTGTTGTTGTTGTTTGTAGTTGTTGTTGTTGTTGTTGTTGTTGTTGTTGTTGTTGTTGTTGTTGTTGTTGTTGTTGTTGTTGTTGTTGTTGTTGTTGTTGTTGTTGTTGTTGTTGTTGTTGTTGTTGGTTGTTGTTGGTTGTTGTTGGTTGTTGTTGGTTGTTGTTGTTGTTGTTGTTGTTGTTGTTGTTGTTGTTGTTGTTGTTGTTGTTGTTGTTGTTGTTGTTGTTGTTGTTGTTGTTCTTCTTGTTGCTGTTGCTTTTGGGTTTTTTTGTCAACTTGTTTGTT